ATCACCTGTGGGACAGGAACACCTGTGGGACAGGGTCACTCCGTGGACAGGATCATCCCCATGGACACGGTCACTCCATGGAAAGGGTCACTCGTGTGACAGTCACCCCAGGGACACGGTCACCCCATGGGACAGGGGTCACCCATAGGGTACATTCCCCGAGGGCAAGGTTACCCGTGGGACAGGGTCACCCTGTGGGCAGGGTCACCCGTGAGGGACGGTCCCCGTGGACAGCGCCAGTGGGTGGCACGGGGGTGACAGTGGCGGGTGGCACAGGGTGGTAAATAATGTAGGACCTACCTTAGGGGTGGGGAGAGCTCAGGGAGAGGCGCCAGGTGAGGGGACACGGGTGGCGTGACCTTGGGGTGTCACCACTGGGGGTGTGGGTTGGTCTGGGGACACTGCGGTGGCCTCGGGGGGTCAGTGCTGGGGACACTGCGGTGGCCTCGGGGGGTCAGTGCTGGGGACATTGCGGTGGCCTTGGGGGGTCACCGCCAGGGACGTGGGTTGGTGCTGGGGACGCTGTGGTGGCCTTGGGGCGTCACCACTGGACTCCCCACGCAAGGTCCTCGGTGGGTGACCCCAGGACGTGTGTGGGGACCCCTCTGGTGGCCGCGGCGCGGTGGCCATGTGGCCCTGCCCCGGGCCGGCGGTGGCCGTGGCTGTTTCCTGCCGTTAATCACCGCTAATTGGCTTTGCCCTGCCGGGCCCGGGAGCCCACGGGGGAGGGAGGGAAGGGGGTGAGGGTCACGGGGAGGGGGGGCGTGTAAGAGGATTTCCCGGCTCCTTCCTCCGGCTCGTCCATCCCGGGGTCCCGCTCCCTGCTGCCCACTCGGCCCCAGACACATGCCACGCACCCGCGGGGACAAGGGGACCCCCAAGGACACGGAGCCCCCTCAGAAGGGGAAAGGGGGGGGCGAGGCGGGGGAGAACCCCCCCAAAGCCCCCGAGGAGCCCCCCGCCCACAAGAATTCCGGCTCCGAGTCCCGGCACGGCGGCCACGGGCAGAAGAGCGGGAAGAAGGGCTCGGGGGACCCCCACGCCGCGGCCACCAAGACCTACTCCCCCTTCCTCAACACCGTCTTCGGCAAGGTGGGGACAGCGGGGGGGGCACGGGACAGAGGGGACACGGGGGTGAGGGCGGGGATGGAGGGACCCCGGGGATGGAGGGGATGTGGGGACGGTGGGGATGGGACGTGGGGACAGCGGGGATGGGGACATGGGGACAGGGACAGTGGGGATGGGGACAGGGACAGTGGGGATGGGACAGGGACAGTGGGGATGGGACAGGGACAGTCCAGGACCCTGTGGGTGGAGGGGACATGAGACACTGGGGACATGGTCAGGGACACTCTGGGACCCTGCAGATGGAGGGGGGACAGGGACTTTGGGGACAGTGGAGATGGGGACATGGGGACAGGGACAGTGGGGATGGGACAGGGACAGTCCAGGACCCTGTGGGTGGAGGGGACATGAGACACTGGGGACATGGTCAGGGACACCCTGGGACCCTGCAGATGGAGGGGGGACAGGGACTTTGGGGACAGTGGAGATGGGGACATGAGGACACTCTGGGAGCCTGGGAATGGTGAGGATGAGGGGACAGTGGGGATGGGACAGGGACAGTCCAGGACCCTGTGGGTGGAGGGGACATGAGACACTGGGGACATGGTCAGGGACACTCTGGGACCCTGCAGATGGAGGGGGGACAGGGACTTTGGGGACAGTGGAGATGGGGACATGAGGACACTCTGGGAGCCTGGGAATGGTGAGGATGAGGGGACAGTGGGGATGGGGACATGGGGACACTCTGGGAGCCTGGGAATGGTGAGGATGAGGGGACAGTGGGGATGGGGACATGGGGACACTCTGGGAGCCTGGGAATGGTG